GCTGATGGCTGGAATGAAATATTCAACCCATAACTGATAAAGACTATTAATGAGGATTGTATTGATAATTGAAATATATGCTTATATAGATTATATATATAAACATATATATATAAATATATATATATATATATATATATATATATATATATATATATATATATATTATTATACATATACCTAATCATTTATTTATTTGTTATATATATATATATATATATATATATATATATATACACTTGTTTCTTGTGTTCTTGTTTTTGTTAAGTTTAGGTCAAAAATAAGTCCACAAGATCTTTCAACTTGTCAGTTTGTACAGTTAATTTATTATGGTCTCAGTATCAATGACACTATGTTGAGTTAAAAATTTTGTTTGCTATATAAATTTTAATGTTTGGTTTTATATGATTCTACATTATATAATGTTTTTTTTGTTTGATAGATGTATACATATCTAAAATTCCGTACAACATACGTACAGATTGCATAATATACATAGTTGTCTCTGCAATTTTAAAGCATTTACAGACTGACATTCCACATTCGAATGTTACATCAGTCTTCCATTCATTGTAATTCACGTTGTTTCAGACTCGAACAGACACAGTAATTTTTACAATTTAAAGTTTAAACCTTGCTTAGAAAAAAAACAAGAGCAATGATGACGTCATACGTTCATTACATAGAGTCAATCTCTCAAGTGACAGAAAAATATATAAAGACGTAGATGAATCCATTTCATATTTTGTAGGCTACAACATTTCCATGACAATTCTTTTAAAATTTTAGCTTTATTCTATCACATAAATTCCAAATAAATGACAAAATAATTTTTTCTGTGATTAATTAAATTAATGATGCTCCTAGTACCGTGAAAAAATACCCGACTACTAAAAGTACCGATAAAACCGAAAGTACTGATAAAAACCAGCAAATTAACCGAACGAATAGTTCAGGTTTTTTTGTGGTTTATAGTTTTGCAGCAAAACTGCGATTTTTTAATCTTAAAAACATTTTATTTAAAAATTTGATCAAACATTTTAATTTAATTAATAATTAATATTAATCTGTCCTATAAAAACATGAAAAGTAATAAAATATGTTGTAGTACTAGTTTGTTTTGTCAAAAAAATGAATTCAGAAATTTTTTCCATTTTATAAATTTTTTTATTTGAAATTAATTAAATATTAATATTTAACTTAAAGAGAAAATAAATTAATAATACTTGTATAGCATTATACTTAAATTAATTAAATAATTGACTGATTAATATAATTAATTATTGAAATTGAATAATAATAAAATAATATTTAATAATTTATGATATAATAAATAATATAATAATCATAATGACATGAGATGGTAGATGATGGTTTAAAAAAGTAAATAAAAGTTAATTTAATTATATTATGTACATTATATAAATAAATTGAACAGTGATTGAGAATTATCAATAAAATAACTGTTAACACTTTAACAGTTAAATTAATAAAATATGACAAGATTTATCATTTATATTTTATCATCAGGTCAGATGTCAGATGACTTTGCTAACTTGAATGAAACAGAAATTATTTTTTTCCAACAGAAACTGAAACATCATGCCATACTTAAATTAAAGTTTTAAACATAAAAGAGTCATATCTTCTCATAATGACTGTCAAATGAATAATGAATACAATATAGAATATATAATAATCAAACTCAAATTTTATTAATCTATTCCTGAATATTTTTCAATTTACACATTATAATATAATATGTAGATATAATTATTGTTTTTATTATAAATTACTTTCATTAAGAATCCTATACTACTGAAATACTAAATATACTATCCTTTACTGTGCTGCTATGTTAGTCTAGTAATTAAAAGTAATTAATTTTCTTCACTGGTTTATTATATATACCTTCTTCTTAGTTTCTTGCTCATCAAAACTAATTAAAATATTTGTAAACTATTTTTAAAATATAATGTAATTAATTAATTGTTGAAAAATAATTTAATTTATAAAAAATTATAAATTATAATAATTATACTATAATGCTGTGATGTTGCTTGCCAAAATATTCAAGCATTCTATAAGTCTAAGGTGATATTTTTTTGTATTATAATTATGTGGAATTTCCGTAATAATTTTTTTGTCTATGTGTATTTTTTTCTTTTTCAATTCATTTTTTCCCATTTGAGTTTTCTATTTTTTTACACACAATTACATTTAAAGAACAATAGCAAATGATAATACTAATTAAATCCACACTCAATTGAATAACATTTTATAAGTTTTTAAAAATAAAATTAACTCCACAGACTGTCAAATTATCGATTGACAACGATTTTGTTTTTTGCACCATCAAGACGATCAAAATCTTTATCAGTAAGTGAAACATCTATTGCCCTAAGGCCTTTCATCTTCAGAGTTCATCCTGACCTATTTTCTAAATATGGTATTGAAAAAGTTTGTAGGTTTCATTTTTTTTATGATTTTTATTTTAGTGCTCATAAAACTGTTGAATTTTAATCTAGTTTATTAACATTTGAAAAGGTTTCATTTATTTATTAACTAAAAGTTTTCTGATTTTTTTTTCAAGATTTTAATACTAGTAAACGAGAGAATGATTTGAAAAAAATGAACTCTGATATCTCAATATATTTTTAAATTCTTAACCACTCAAAGAAAAAACTTATAAAATTCTCAATCCACTTTTAAACTTCTTCTAACCAACAAGGCAAAAATAAATGAGGAGTCGTTGAAATTATTGAACGAATACATCCACAAGCTGCACAACAACGAGCAAGTCAGGCCTCTGAAACTTCTATTCTACCTGAGGAAACTTCCATCATCAACCAATAATGAGTCCAATGGTAAATATTCCATCATCACATTATCATCATCACATCATTATCATCATCGGATCATCATCATCACATCATCATCATCGCATTATCATCATCACATTATCATCATCATATTATCATCCTCACATTATCATCATCACATTATCATCATCACATTATCATCATCACATCATCATTACCACATTATCACCCTCATCATCACGTCAAAATCACTTCATCGCATGACCACATCATCATCAACATTTCATCACCTTATTTATCATCATCATCAGACATAAACACCACACCACGCCACACCACCAGCTCTGGAGCTGCGAACAGTGAACATAAGTTTGCAGTCGACAAATGTGACCGACACTATCAGCAACATTTTGAACACCTGCCATCTCCCACTTGACTACCTAGAAAGCATCGGCGTCTCCAGGCACAGTTTCCATGTTGGAAGTTCTTCTTGTAACAAATCTACTACCTTGGAATGGTGTGTGTGTGTGTGTTTGTATGTGCATGCGTGTGTGTGTGTGTGTGTGTGTGTGTGTTGGCGTGTTTGCGTGTGTGTGCGTATGTGTGTTTTTTCCTCTTCCCCTAAATTCGGTCCCCTTATAAACTAACATGTCTCTACAGTTCAATTGCGCTCTCTTAGGATCAGCAAAATTAGATGTCTCTGATTTGTGATGAAATAATAACAAGGTGTCTATAGATGTGGCCTTCATAATCTGCACCATCTACTTATTGTTATTACTATTATTCTCATTATTATTATTATTGTTGTTGTTGTTGTTGTTGTTGTTGTTGTTATTGTTGTTGTTCTTCTTCTTCCAAGGACGTCTGACAAGGAGCTGTGGCGTGTCTTTCAGCAGATGGAGTGCGAGATGTTCAACCCGCGCTTCCAACAATACGACAGTGCCACCAGCGTCCACACCAGACATCACAACGAGAACTCTGTTAGGTCCGCTGCTGTTGCTGCTGCTGCTGCTGTCGTTGTCGTCGGTGTTGTTTGTTGTTGTTGTTGTTGTCGGTGTTGTTTGTTGTGGATGTTGTTGTCGGTGTTTGTTTGTTGTTGTTGTTACATACGTTGTTGTTGATGTCGTTGAGTAAATGTTGTTGACGCTGTTGCTACTGGTATTGTTGCTGTTTGATGTTGTTGTTATAATGTTACTTGAGACATCATAATGGAAATTTTGTTGGTTGGTTGTTGCCTGTTAGGATTTTGCTGCTACTGCTGTCATGTTATTTGTTTCTATTTTGTACTTGTCGGGTAAATAAATTTCATTCCAAAAAGTCAACCACCACTCCACACACACACACACACACCACACACACGTCACCCGCACGTAGTTCGTGGCTGAAAAGAAATTTGAAAAAAGCAAGGGAGAACATGAAGAAAGTTCAGCCAATGAGAGACGAGGTAACGAGGTTGCAAGAGATTATGGTCCGAGACTTCGGATTGGCCGAGATCAAATGGCAGAGTGGTTGGACCGTTAGTACTCACAGTGCAGCCCTCAAGAGTTTGTGTCGAATCATCTGTGGTGGTAGTGGTGGTGGTGGCAGTGGTGTTAGTGGTAGTGGGGAGTACAATGTCATAGGTTAGGGTTGTCGTTGTTTCTTACTTTTGCTAAACAAAACAACTTTATCTCGGAATTTAGTTAAACAACACGTATCTTTATGGAGGAAATATTCTTCACGTTAACTTATTAATTAATTATGTTAATTTATGCTAATTAGCACCGACCCCGTTACTTTGTTTATTCACTGGCAGGGAAGACAGTTGTATTCGGGAATGACCTTGGTATCTCGGTTGAAGGTCACATCATTCTAAGGCAAGATACTGTATCCGATGCTTGGAAATATGTGAGTAGATGATGATGAAGATGATGAGGATGATGTGGATGTAGAAATGATGATGACGATGGTTACACCAATGATGACGATGATGATGGTGATGATAATGATGAATGATGATGCACTTGAAATTACTTTGAAGAAGACCATTCACAATTCACCTTATTAAGACCATTCACAATTCACCATATTAAAACCATTCACAATTACCTTATTAAGACCATTCACAATTCACCTTATTAAAACCATTCACAATTCGCCTTTCACCTTATTAGCTCATCAAATCAGACAGTCAGAAAATAGTTTCTGTCTTGTAGGATGTGCTTAATGTCACTTGTAATTGCAACTGACCAATCAAACGACAGATCCTGAAGAACCAATCACATTACGACTCGACGTTACGAGCCATCCCACACTTTGAGAAGACCTTATCGACTCTTCTGAATGGCATTCAGGTTTTACCGCCACAACAGTCTGTCGTACTAGCTGTCAGCTACCTACAGCAGCTGAAGGCCTTGATTGATTGCATTCATGCTTATAGGAAGGAGAGTTTGGATGATATCAAGGAAGATGTTCACGACCTGCAGTTGACTGTTGAGTGGTTGGTAGTTGCTGTTGGCTGGTTGGTTGGTTGGTTGGTTGGTTGGTTGGGTTGGTCGGCGGTCGGTCGGTTGGTCGGTCGGTCGGTCGGTCGGTCGGTCGGTCGGTGACTGGTTGGTTGGTTGGGGTGATTGTTGACTGTGTGAAAAACGTTTTACTTGCGTGTTTGTAAACCTATAGAGTTTTGTATATGATTGAAGTGTAACTGAAACTTATATTCAGTCTTTTGCCTGCTCACAAGAGCCTTGTTTCGTTATATCATCTCGATAATCTTACTTAATCATCTTCATTGGCATCCATGTCATTACTTTTACCGTAGTCCTCATCATGTTATCACTGCATCATCATCATTGACGCCATCATCACAATTACCATCGCCAACACGTCCATCATCTTTTGCATCGTCATCATCGTCGTCATGAACTTGACCTCTCTTAAAAGTGCCACAGGGCCTATCTTGATGGCGGAGCAAGGTCAAATCATGGTCCCTACTTCCTGTCCGGCATTTTTAATCTTCGACTACATTAAGAAGAACTCGCATAAGGCAAGATCCATGCAGAAAGAATTTCAAAGGTTTCATTGTTTTTTTTTGGTCTGTTTTGTCACGTTATTTTAGTTCACTGCTGTCATAAAAGTTATCAACAACAAAAACGTAGGTAATTAACATAATCAATGAATATATTAACATAATCTAACCCGACATATCAAAACAGATGTCAGTTATCCGACGAATCAACGATCAGCCTCTGCCAGTCCATGCTAGGCCTGCAAGCCCTCCTCCGTGACTCCAGTATCACGCGCCAACAGATGGTCACGTGTTGTCGGAGACTCATACGATTGGTTGATACCAGGGCACTTAAACTCGATCTTTCGTCTATCTGGCTTAGGATTGGTCAGTTTTACACGGTCACCGTCGAAGGGGAGATGTGCATACCTTGGAATTTTGAAGATGTTATTTAGTTTCGGTTGTTAGTTAGGAATTTTATGTAAGCAGTTTATTATCCTCATCGTTGTACATAATTTTTTTTGTTTGAAAATTATACATCTTTATTTTTTGAGAACATCTTCATGGAATTAAGTTTGGCAGACATTTGGACACTTGTCCTGAGCATGTTGAACAAATTGTATTCATCATATCTGGCGTAATTGTGATTCTAATTTTATTCTCACTTTGTTTCATCTTGTCTATTCTTATTATCGGTCAGCCAGCCACTCGGCACTTTATGTTTCCTGTGCCTTATTTAAGAAATCATTTGAACTTTCACTTTTTCGTAATGGATGTGCGAAATTTTTATCGTTAAGTTTGTGACGCAATAAGTCGCAAATAAATTGCGTTGTAAATATGTATTGAAGTATTAAAAAGCTTGTGAAGAGACTTTTGTTCGATTTTATTTTCATTACGCGTCTGGCTGTTCGACCGTACGTAGTGTTATTTTTCGAGAGCGCTATATAATTTGTTTTTTGGTTTTTTGCGCATTATATAAGAAAGCAACATAGATCACAATGGGGTCTTTGTTTTTATTTTTTACGAGATGAGCGTTCTTATCAAGTTAGACTCGGTTACATACGCGGAGTTTTTTTGAATTTTTAAAACGCGCATTATATAACAAAACTAAAAAACAAATTGACGATGGGGGCGAAACCTAGTACGGACGTTCGTGGCACCGGTTCGTCGAGTTCGGCTAGCGAGTCTATTATCATCGGCCGGGCAGTGAATCCCATCAACAACCAACAATTCGCCATCGTACGTCGGACTCAAAATCCAGCAGCCAGTCTGGCCGCATTGCAGGTGAGTGCCAATCGGCCGAGGACGCGGAGTTTCGCCGAAGGCTTGCTTCAAAGGAATGCAGTAACTTCTTCGTCTCTATCCCACTCATCGTCCAGTGGCATCCACAACAACCACAACAACCTCAGCCACAACAGCAGCAGTAATAGTAATAGTAGCAACGTGGAGAGTTCGTCTGGGGACGAGAGGTTGAGAAGGAGGTCCATGGTGGGACCGACTAACAGTTCATTGCCTTGGCTGGCATTACAATGTTTGTCATTCCCGTTTTCTCATTGTCATTGCTGTTTAAAATATAATTTATAATTAATTAATTAATGTTCATTTAATTTTTGTTAAACTAAATGGCTTGGTTTATTTATATTTTATACTCTGTTAATTAAACTTGCTACTTAATTTTCTTCAATTTAATTTTCTTCAATTTAATTTTCTTCAATTCATTTTTTGGTTTTTGGTTAAGTTGAACCTCTCCTCTTTGAACTATTTGAAACTTTCGTATCATTTGATTTTTTAAAGATAAATTTTTAATAAGAACACATACACAAACATACACAACTAACACACATACAAAAAATACACACACATACATAAACATACACACACATACAAAAACATACACACACATACAAAAAATGACACACACAGCTTTAAAGTGCCCAGTATGTCATAAAGTCATTCAGGCAGATGACATTGAATGTCACCTAGTCATGTGTATTACTAAACCTAAAATCAGCTACAATGGTTTGTTCATCTTTTTCCTCCATCACCATCATCATCATCATCATTGATATCATCATCGTCTTCATCATCAACTTCTTCATATAGTTTTTATTATATATTTTATCATGTCATTTTGGCTTTACTAACGCTGTGTTTTAGATGTTGATGTTATTTATGTTGTTGTTGATGTTATTTTTGTTAATATTGTTTCATGTTTTAATGACTTTAATGTTGTAATTGTGTCATAGGTGTTGATACCATCTATATATGTCTAAGGTGTTATCTTTATCAATGTTGTTCTTATTGATGTAAGCAAATTTGTTAGCTGTCCTCAAAATTAGCATTCCACTCTTTCTCTCTCTCTCTATCTTTCTCTCTCTTTCTCTCTCTCTCCTTCTCTCTCTTTCTTTCTCTCTCAAGGGCTTTTATAAAAATTTAGAGATTCAAGTCATGAAAAAAATTTTTGGTTTCATTAATTTCAATTGGTCTGTTTTTACATTATACTTGATTGTATGTCTTTATGTCTTAGATATTTTTTTCTCCTTACTCACTACTAAATGTTATTATGGTGGGTGTTATTATATGTGTCTCACACACACACAAATACACACAAATACACACACACAAACATCTATACACATACTCACGTACAGTTTCATACATATACACACATCTATAAAAACACACAAAAATTTCTACCACAACTTATATCTTACAAAGGATGCTACAGATACATGCATAAACACACATATACACACTTACTTACAAACATACAAACATTCATTCACGCATACAAACATTCATGCATTTAAATAGAGATGATATAGTACTGGAAGACCATGGTGAATTAATTGCCAGTTATGTTTTAATGGTCGTTTACAAACAAACACACACACACACACACACATATATATATATATATATATATATATATATATATATATATATACATATATATATATATACATACACACACATACATGCAAAAAGCACACATGAACACACGCACACACACATGCAAACACACATGCAGATGACATTTTACTTGAGGACCGCGGCGAATGCCCAATATGTTTGGATGACATGAGTCAGGGTGACCACATAGCTCGACTTCCTTGTCTATGCGTTTACCATAAAAAGTTGGTTTGGCTTTCTTTTTTATATTTGTTTTTCATTCATTCGTGCATTCATTCGTTCGTTCATTCATTTATTCGTTCATTCATTTGCCTGTTTGTTCATTTTTATCATCTAGTCATTCAATTGTTTGTTTGGTGGTTTGTTGGTTACACATACAAACATTTTTTGTTGCCGTATTTGTGTGTAAATAATTTCATTTTTTCAATTCTTTATTACATTTTTAATTCATCTTTCTGTTTGTTTGATGTGTACATTTCATTCATTCATTCATTCATTCATTTATTCATTCATTCATTCATTCATTCATTCATTCAATGAATCATTTTTTTAATTTAGTATTTGGTTCATTCATTCATTCATTCATCCATTCGTTCTTTAGTTTTTCATGGAATTTGGTGAATCACTTCTATGTTAATTGATAGCAATTCTGTCCAACTCATGCTTTCCTATCATCGTAGTGTATTACAGTGTGATGAAGTTAATAATAATATTTATAATAATAATAATAATTATAGTTATAATAATTATTTTTGTGTTTCTTTATGAGTTCTTGATAATTTATATTTATTCTGATAGTGTGTGTGTATGTGTGTGTGTGTGTGTGAGTGAGTGAGTGTGTGTGTTAAATATGAATTGATAATATCATCTTAACCGTAATCATCTTCTTCATCACCTTCTTCATCATCACCTTCATCATATACGTTTCATTTCATCATCATCCTCTACCAGGTGCATTGATGGCTGGTTCAAGGTCAGTAGGTCGTGCCCCGAACATCCGGGGAGTTGATCCTACCCACTTTGTCATCGTCGGCATCGTCATCGTCGTCATCTGGCCGCCATTTTCGTCGTCATCATCGCCATCTCGGACGCTGTGAATGACGTCATCGTCGTCGTCGTTACCATGATCTTCATAATCTGCGAGAATGTGTGATCTTTGTTGTCATCGTTTTAACCGACGTTATCGTCATCATCACTGTCGTTGTACATTTTTACTCATTCTCTAACAATCATCAACCACACATCACCATCATCATCATCGTCGTCTTATGAATGAATGAATGAATGAATGGATGAATGGGTGGATGAATGAATGAATGTATGAATGAATGGATGGATGGATGAATGAATGGGGGGATGAATAAATTATTACTTTTATTATAACAATGTTAATAGTAATAATAATAATAGCATTTTTATCTACATGAACAAATGTGATAGTAGCTTCTTTTGATTATTTTTTTCCACCATCTTATTCGTCGTCGTTGTCGTTGGTGTTGATTAAAATCATAATAATAATATTTATTATTGTTATAATTATTTATGTTATAATTATTTATGTTATAATTTTTCGATATATATATATATATATATATATATATATATATATATACATATATTTATATATATTTATTTATTTATTTACCTATCATCATCTTTGTAGTCAGTCAGCAAGTCACATTATTGTTGTATACTTCTACGTATTTTGATCGAAAAATTATTCATTATTATTATTAATATTATTGTTATTATTATGGTTATTATTGTTATGGTTTTTTATTATTATTATTATGGTTATTTATCGTTCATTTTTTTTGTTTTTATTCAAGTGTCGGTTAGGTAACCTGCTCACATATCCCTGCTTACCAACCAGGCAATGCTTTGAAACGTCGTTAAAATTTACCTAGATCCAATTCAAAGTATCACTTAATTGTTATTAATAATTATAACAGTTAAAATTGTTGTTATCATTGTTGTTAGCGCTCTATTATTTCACTATCTTCATCGTTCTCATCATCATCGTTACACTGTCTGTCTGTCTGTCTGTCTATCTATCTATCTATCTATCTATCTATCTATCTATCTATCTATCTATCTATCTATCTATCTATCTATCTCTTTATCTCTCTATTTATCTATCTATCACACACACACACACAATCTCGCACATACACACGCACGCACATACACACACACACCTGACTACGTGTCTCCAGTGAACATGCCTTGCCATTTAAATATCTCAAACCGGTTTCCACATATGAAGGCACGCAGCTGTGGGCGGTGCTTACGAATGTCACTCAATCAGATTTGGGATTAAACTTCATTTAATTGAACATCTATGGAGTATTATTATTTTTTTGAAAGTGGTTATTGGGGACAAAGAAATTGTTATTGATTTGTTTGAGGAATGAGCTTGAGTGTTTGTTTGTTTGTTTGTTTGTTTGTTTGCTTGTTTGTTCTTTGGCACGTTTGCCTGGTTTGTAACTTCTTACATGTTGGTAGTTATGATTTTGCTAGTTTATCATTGATGGTAATTAATTTATCCATTTTTCATTCTATATGTGTGTGTGTGAATGTGTGTGAGATGTGCGTGTTCGTGAGCGCGTGTGTGTGTGATGAACGTGTGTGTGTGTGCGTGTGTGTGTAGTGTGCTTGGTAGTAGTATGTTGCTCTTTTGACTTTGAGCTTTATATTTGATAACCTTCGTCATTTTCAGTTTCATCATCGTCGTCATCATTTTTACTATCTTCTTCCTCCTCCTCATCATCATCTGCATCTCCAGTATCATCATCGTCATCATAACCTTTGTCATCATCATCATTATCTTTGTCATCATCATCATCATCTTCGTCATCACTGTTTAATAATTCCTATGGCTGATCGATAGATATTCTTTCTGATGCATGGAGGTTGAAATTCCATTTGTTTATTTGTTCAAGTTTTTGATTGATCGATTGATTGAGTGATTGATTGAATGAATGAGTGATTGAGTGAGTGAGTGAGTGAGTGAGTGCGATTGGACTTTAAAAAATATAATAGAAGCGTAATAACATGTGTGAGTATGTGCGTGCGTGCGTGTGACTGTGTGTGTGCGCGCGCGTGTGTGTAATTTGCATCTTGTTTCGGAGTTTTTTAAAGTCAACTCGTCAGTCAGGCCGATGAAACTGCTATTAGAAACTGCGATGTAGCATTTTATTTAGTTATCTGAGGCGTAGAAATTCATATTTTACACAACGTAATTCACTCTTTGTCCTCTATCAGGTCAATTACCTCTACGTAATGGCTATCGTCATCATCGTCGTCTTCATTATCACCATCATCATCATCATCATGTCTATCACCATCATCATAATCATCATCATCATGTCTATCACCATCATCATAATCATCATCATCATGTCTATCACCATCATCATCATCATCATGTCTATCACCATCATCATCATCATCATCATCATGTCTATCACCATCATCATCATCATCATCATCATGTCTATCACCATCATCATCATCATGTCTATCACCATCATCACCATCATCATTAACATTTTCATTTTATTTATTACTATCTTCGTCATCATCATCTTAGTCGTCATCGTCAATCTTAACCCCAATTTGGTTCACCATTCATTCACCATTAGTTCATCATCATCATTTATTCATCATTACACATGTTACTGTCAAAGTGTGTGGATGTGCGTGTGTGTGTGCTTGTGTATGTGCGTGTGTAAGCTAGATCTTAATCTCGCGTGCTCATAGTGTTAAATTAATTTTAATTTAATTTAAATCAATTAATTCATCTATTTATCTATATTGCTGTTATTATGTTTGTGCTGTTTAAGAGCAGCTGAAGACGAAGTAACCATCCATCCATCCTTACAATCGAGCAATAAGCGTAATAGTTGATAAATTGTTGCACCAATGACATTTAGGCCTTATTCGCATATATATATATATATATATATATATATATATATATATATATATATATTGTATATACGTTTTTATGATTGTGTGTGTGTGTATATGTGTGTTTATGTGTCTATGTATTTGTGTGTGTGTGTGTGTGTGTGTGTGTGTGTGCCTATGATGATGAGGAGATAAAGATGAAGAAAATAGAGATGAGGGTGATGTCGATGACTCCATTGATGACTCTTAATATTATGGTGATTATTATTGTATATGTAGTTTGAGATCGCAGATGATGATGATGATGGTGGTGATGGTGGCGATGATGATGATGATGGCGACGGTTATCTCTGTTAATAAAAAAAACACCATAGAATCCGTAGAAACAGAAAAGGATGATGATGATGAGAATGATGATGAGGTTCATGATGATGACGAATAAAGGATGATGTGATTGTGATGGGAGGTTGGATTTCTTTTAGTCTGATTTAATTTTCTTTCATCACTCATCGTTAGTCACTTTGTACAGTTAGCTTATATTCACCTCTCTTTCTTTCTCTCTTTCTTTCTTTCTCTCTCTGTCTGTTTTTCTCTCTCTCACACACACACACACATTTATATATATATATACATATATATATATATATATATATATATATATATACACACGCGCGCATGTACACATACATACACCTTTATACATTTTTATACATTAGTATATACCTACTAAATAAAAATGCAAAATTTCGTCATAATATAATATGATGTATATATTATTTATGTGTGTTTGTGCGTGCGAGCGTTTGTGCGTGTGCGAGCGAGCGTTGTATAATATATATATATATATATATATATATATATATATATATATATATATATATATATATATATATCTTAACGTGTTTTAACGTCTTTTAATTTGTATTTAAATTTTAAATTGGAACCGGACCATATTAATTTATTATTAATTTGAAATTTTTACGCTCGAGTGTTATTTCGTCTGTATTTCTTTATTGATTGATTGGTTGAATGATTGATTGATTGGTTGATTGATTGAATGATTGATTGATTGATTGATTGAATCTTTAAATTATGGACCATTTGATGCCTATAAAACCGAACGAACGAATGAATGAATAACTGAATGGATGGCTGGATGGATAGATAGAAAAATGAGTGAATGAATGATTGATCGATTGAATGATTGATAGAACGAACGAATGAATGATTGAATGAATGAAGATGCAGTAAATAAAAGCAATCTGATGTTTTTCTCCGTTCTGTCTCCGTTCTGACCAAGCGACGATAAAGATGATAACATAAATAATATGAAAATGTCATGTTTTTTGGTACGCTAATTAATACTCGCTTGATTTTCTGTTTAATATTATTTCTCTTTTTTCTTGTTTAATTCTTTTTTAATTTACATAATTTATTTGATTAATTAATTAGTGGGTTAATTGATTGATTGATTAGTGGATTGATTGATTGATTGATTGATTGATTAGTGGATTAATTGTTTGTTTGATTAATTAGTGGATTAAATGATTGATTGATTAGTGGATTAATTAATTAATTGATTGATTAATGGCTTGGTTGGTTAATTGATTGATTGATTGATAATTTCATTTGAATATTTTCAGTATTAACTCCGTGCGTTGGATTTTATTTCCCCGGAAGTTTAATTAACCAATTAATTAGCTTATTAAGTTAATTTTAATTAATCAATTAATTATAATCATTTTCCTGTCTCATTTCATTTTTAACAGTCTCTTCGACTAGTCTTGTTGTTATTATTGTTGTTATTTATTATTATTATCGTCATTATTGTTATTATTATTATTATAACATAATTTTTGTTTGGCAAACACAAATAGGTGAACATCTCGGTTAATGTAAATGCAATGCAATGTAAGGAATCACATTTTTTTACTGAAACTTAGTGTAATGAATCACATCAACATTACTATATCGTATGGTATTATTATGTGGTTATATATTTACACACACACACACACATATATATATATATATATATATATATATAATGTAAATATATCGCAGTTATAATGATAATAAAATTGAAAATCTGCAAATATGTTATCTGAGTTATATGTTAGAACAACGACGAGCGATGCGAATGATAATTTGTGACTCTTATCTTTCACGAAAGGATGGTACATGTATTTTAATTCAGTTGTAGAAAAATGGTTCAAAGAATGTACTGGGAGTATTTATGGTATTTATGTAGATTACAGTTTCTGGTATTGTATGTAATATCTGCGTTTTAGGAAATTTTTGTTAAAAGTAATTCATCTCACAAATCACGCTAGTACTCGAGCGTTTCGTCGTCATGTATTTAGCAATGGAGGAAAAGAATATGATTAAGCCGGAAAACTTATTCACGCACGGGGTCTTTGAGTTTGGCACGGGTAGTAATAACAACGCAATCCATGGTACTTCCACCGACTGAGCTAACTCGGTTTTCCGTTTAGTAACATTGAAACAATTGGATAACATCGAACAGTTTATTGATTTTTAATGAGGGATTTTAATGAAACTAGCGTCATGTCAGCTGTAAATTATTATCATTTTCATCAACTCTTCCACTACGTAACTTTGTCACTAAGCTTTTCAACCATTGTGTTCTGTTACAGTTTCTTGTTCTAGTAATTTCTCGCAAAAAAATGAATGAACCTTAGTTGGTACCATTCGCCTTGTGTTGAAAGAAAAATGATGAAATAATCACTCAGGTAAGAATTCTCAGTATTTTGGCAATTCTTAAATATTTAAAACGTCACATTGTTTACAAGATTTGATTAGTGTAAATATTTTGAAATGCGCTCCTTAGCTAGATGTTTTAACTGTTTTTTGACTGGCGCTAAGTTGTCTTTATGATTTCTGAGTTTGGTTAATTAACTAACTTGTTAACAATTTTGTCTATAATGAGTACTGATTATTGTTTATTAGTAATTAAAATATAATTTTCAATATTTTTCAATATTTCAAAAAAATCCAACTACCAAACCTTTTTCTCCCCTATGAGCTTTAAGCAATGTAAAGACGATGTTCTGTAAAATATCGAGAATTCATTCAGTCACTATCTCATTATTTATCTCTCTCTGCTTGTCTGCAACATGTAGGGCGGATAGTAATTCAATAAAACTTAATAACAATGAAACCGGGAATAATTTGGTTGGCTCCTATCCCAAGTTTGGTTTTGAGAAACTTCATTCGTTACAAAGAGAATCAATGAAATTCTCTCAAAAAATGCCAGAAAAATTCGATGCACAACTTCAGATCAGACGCCAAAACGAGCACGAACAGACGCCACCACCATGGTCGTCGACACCTTCATCATCATCGAATCGAAGATATCAAATTGCCAATGTACATGAACCAAACGTTGAAGTCTATGGGTTGCTTAGACCTACCTCTGATGGAGTGGATCGGTTGAATGGAAAAGTTGGAAGTAGACAGGCACGACAGCCAAAGCAACGACAGCAACTACAACGACAGCAACTACAACAGCAACAACTACAACGGCAACAGATGCTATCAAAACAACGACACTCGTTGGATTTCAATCTTCAGAGAAAGAAGCTGAACGACAATGACGTTGTACAAGTCGTCTACAAAAGAAATATTTTTAGACGTTCATCCAACGAAACTTCAACGACTACTTCACCAAAAAATCAACAACAGCAGGAGCAACAACAACAAAAAACAAAAAGCCAACAATCGAAAGAACAACAACAAAAAGATACCCAACAACAGGACCAACAACAATCCAAGCAACAACAACAAGCTCAACCACAACAAAAACAACAACAAGACTTACAAAAACAACAACAACAACAACAACAACCGGTAGGTGACCAACAACAACAACAGGCCTTACCACTGCAACAGCACGAACAACAAGCTCTACTAAAACAAGCACAACAACAACAACAACAACAACAAAATAAAGAACAACATCAAGAGAGACAGGGAGAACATGAAAAAAAATTAGAATCAATGGAAAACTTGGAGCAACAAAAACAGCAACAAAACCTGCAGAACAACAGCCTGCAACAACACAAGGAACTTCTACAACAAATCAAAGAACAGCAAGAAGTTCAGCGAATCCACGAAATTGAACAAGAAGAGAAGTTGGAACGGGAGCTGAGGTTACTGGTGCAGCACCTCAACGAACAACGCCAACGACGACTGGAGCAAGAGCGGTGGCAGAAGGAGCTGACGGAGAAGAGGATGAAGAGGAAGAGGATGATGTCAGCCATGCAGAGCCACATTTCGAATCTGAGAGAGAGGTTGCAGATGAATCACATCCTCCAGGATAAAATGAAACTTCTCCTCAAGAGAAACGAAAGGCAGTTGAATGCGCTGGACTACAAAATGATGCACGAGAAACTGCTAAACAACCAGCAGGACCTACTTCAGCAGCAACGCAAGATGAAGAGACTCTTCGAACGGGAACACGTCTACTCGAATCTGCGCAGGCAGAAGAACAAGAGGCTGAGGAAGCTGAACCAACTGATGCAGAGACAGGAACTGGAGCGACTACAACAGCAACAAGATTTGGAAATGCTGGAGATCATCCTCAAACAACAGCAACAAAAACAACAACAAAAAGATAAACTGAAAAGACTGGAACAACAACTGCACCACCTGAGCGAGAGGCAGCAACAACAAGCAGAACGTGAGTTGGTTCGCAGAAGAAAACGATCTATTGATATAAATATGCAAACTTTGCAGAAATCACCACAGCAGCTGCAACAATATCAGCAACTACTGCAACAGCAACAACCGCCACTAGAACAACTACAAGTACCACAACAGCTACAACTACAGCCACAGCAATTTGAAACAGATATTGTTTACATATTGCAGGATGATCATAGAAAACAAGAGGAGCAGGAACAATTGGAATCACAACAACCACAACAACCGCAATCACTACAACTTGAACGACAACAAATTCAACTACAACAACTTCCACAACAACAACAATTTTATCTTCAAAACCAGTCTAACAAAAAAGAATCAAACGTAAGTATGAACCATAATAAAAATCTCAACACAGAAATCTCGGATCTGTTACAACAATCCGAGCAAGAGTTGTTGCGGCAACAACAATTTTTGCAACAACAACAGCAACAACTCACTAAACAACAAGAGCTTTACCAGCAGCAGCAACAGCAACATTTGAATCAACAAAATCAGCAACAACATCAGCAACAACATGCACAGAAATTTGCGACTAACAACAACAATCTCTACAAAAACATTGAACCTCACCAGCAAAACTCATACCAGCTTCTGGTTGACAGCCAACCAGACTACAGTTACCTCCATAAAGGTGATTTTAAACATTTCCTCCAGCCACAACAAACATCTTCACAACAGTACCTACCACAGTATGGGGATCAACAACAACAACAACAACAGCCACCAGTACATGAAACCCTCGGTAGGCAGTATTCACAACAGCAAAATGAACAACGACAAAAAGAACTTCAACTTAAACAACGACAGCTTAAACAACATCTCCAAAAACTATTTCGACAAAATGGTGAGCTGGACATCAAGGAAGAATTCGATATTGACCTGAAAAACGTATATAACGATGAAAAAATATTTCCTAATTCATCCTCATCATCCTCCTCATCATCATCCTCATCATCATCATCATCACCATTAACGACGATGACGTCATCGTCGTTAACCGAAACGTTATCACCGTCATCGTCAACAACGTCACGTGCAAAATTCAGCACAGTTTCCACAAACTCAACAACAACAAAATCGATCGTAGCCACCGCAAGAGTGATGACGTATATAAATACAATGATGACGACAACGATTACGTCATCAACAAAACCATCACCAATTCATTCTCTACCAGGTAATCAAACTCACAGCTTTTCAAACAAAACAACTCAAAAAGCAAATAATTCGCCTACTACTGCCACCACCACAACAACAAGCACAACAACTGCTGCTACTATTGCCGTCACAGCAGCAACTACAACTACTACTTTTACAAATACATCAACAACAACAATAACAACGGTGACAACAACTACTTTCAGAAAAACAGCAATTTCGCAATTTCAACTACCAACAACGACAAAAACACCATCACCAATGAGCATCTTTTTGAGGCTGGAGCAAAACATGGCAGATGCCACAACGCAAGAACCTGATAATGTATTTTTTATCATTTCAAGAGTTGCAGTTAATTTCAGAAAGCCCAAAACAACAACATCAACAACATCATCAACAACATCATCATCAATAACAACAACATCAACAACAACATCAACAACATCAACAACAACGAAAACAATGACAATTTCATTGAATGTTTTGCCCAATATAAATAACAAAGACAAAAATGGCAATATGTCATTAACTTCTTCTTCGTCGTCTTCATCATCAAAAACGGCAAACACAACTACTACCATTACTACTTCTACCACCGCCGCCTTTACTACTACTACTACAACTAGTTCTACTACCGCTTCTAAAGCTGCTATCGCTACTACAACAACTACTACTACCAGTTTAAACACATCTAGCCGTAGTGCTACAAAAGTTATTGAAACATCAATAAAAGATGCAACTACTACTTCAAGTACAACAAAACAATTCACCACAACAACACAACTCACAACAATACAACCCACAACTACAAAAACTATGATGACGTCAATCGAAATAACGTCTTCTTTACTGATTGTTGCAGATCAGCAAATGATTGATCTGTCAGGTGATCCAGAACAACCAAAACAAGTTGGGCAGAAGTTGCCGGAACAATTTCAACAGCAACAACAACAACCACAGCTTCAACCACAGCAACTTCTTCAACAGTCTCAACAAGAATCGCGACCGAAACAGATTCAATCCCAGCATCTACCACAAAAACCTCAACAAATTCAGCCACTCCAACAGTTACAACAACAATCTCAACAACAGCAGCTTCAACAACCACAACAACATTATCAAATACTCGAACAATTACAGCAACCACCAGAGAAGCAGCTACAACAACAACTACAACAATTGAGCCACGACAAACACAACAAAATAAACGAACATGACTCATTACAGCAGCGCATACAGCAACAGTTCCAAGCACAGTTAGACAAAATCTTACTGAGTCCCAAAACACGTCGCAGACACTCTGGCAGACGGTTGCGCAACAAACTCAAAAAACAAAAACAACAACAGCTAAACGCCAAACTGCAGCAACAATTGTTTCAACAGCAACTATTACAGCAACGGCTGCATCAACAGAGACTCATCGAGCAGCAAAAACAGTTCTTGCAACAACAACGCCAACAACAACAGTTGCAGCAACAACCAGTTCTCGATTCTCAAGCGAAAATGAACAAAACAAAAGAAGTGTTGTTCGTTCAGAAATGGTTTATGGATAAGTTAAAAAATTCCATGCTATCATCATCATCATCTTCATCTTCTTCATCCTCATCATCATCATCAAAAGAAGCCATCAAAACAACAACATCAACAAAAACATCGATTTCTAATACCAATAACGACAACAACAACAACAACAACAACATCAACAACAACATCAACAACAACATCAACAACAACAACATCAACAACAACATCAGCAACGACGACAATTATGCTGACGCTGGTAACAGATACAATAAAATCATCCGAGAATACAGCAGCAGCAGCAACAACAACAACGACAACAACGACAACAACGATGAAGACAATTATGAAATTACTAGTGATAATAAGGACGAGAATGAGATACACGGCAAAGACGATGACGACGATGATAGCGAATTAATTCAAAATGATATCATGCTATCTAATGATATCATCACTCAAAAGAATAAACAGAATGACGATGATGACGACGACGTCGACGATGGTGGCGGTGGTGGGGATGATAGTAGTAACACTGACGTCAGCGATGGTGGTGGTGGTGGTGGTGGTGGTGGTGGTGACGATGAAACCGGTGATTCTAAAGATGAAAGTGGATACATTAGCAATAAAAATGACCTTGAACTTTATTACAACAACGACATTAATAATGACATCAATCAAATTGTTGACAACAGCAACAACAACATTGGTGATGGCACAATGGGTTACAATACGTTCCGCTTGGATGACATTAGCAAGCTTCCGGGAAATGTTTCTTTATTATCAATGATTGACGTTCCTTTCGACGGGATTGATGATAATAATTCATCCTCAACCAAAATCAACAACAACAATAACAACAACATCATTATTAGTAGTAGCAGCAACAACCAAGGTATCAGCAACACTAACAACAATCAAGACATCAACAGTGACGTAAATAACATCGATGACGACAATGACATCAACAACTACAACAACAACAACAACAACAACAACAACAACAACAATAGCAGCAACAACAACAGCAATAACCACTCCAATATAAATGTTAACAGCGCCAACAACAGCAACAACAACAACTCCAAAACATACAACAACATCAACAGCATCAAGAGTTTGACCATATTGAAAGATAACATCAAGATAGAGCCCTACCCGAGTGGCCAGTTGGAAAAGTGTGACAACAAGTTGTGCAGTGCCAGAGGTTCGTGCTACCAAGACAGGTCAAAAATTGACGGCGATGAAGATGTCTTCTGCTTGTGTTTCATTGGATACTACGGACGGTTCTGTCAGTTTGGTGAGTGTGTGCGTGTTGTGTGCGTGCGCGCGTGTGTTGTTTGTGTGCGTGCGTGCGTGTGTGCATGTGTGTGTGTGTGTGTGTGTGTGTGTGTGTGCGTGTGTATGTGTGTATGTATGTGGGTAACAGCTGTAGTAGTTACTGTTACTGCTACTGTTGTTGTTGTTATTTTTGTTATTTATTTTAATACATGCATCCACAATCATTGCGCCATACTAACGAAGCGTATGATTTTCTTTAAGAGGAAAGCGCAGACAGTGTTTGAACAATGTAAGTGCGCATTAATATTGCAAAGCACGGCGCTTCTACCGGTTGAGTTAACTCGTTCACTTGTTACGTCATCCACTATTTTTCTCTTGTGATCGTTGTTATTCATGATTTAATATTTGGATAGTTTTTACTATTGTTTAGCGAGTTCATCAATCCATCTGATTTCATTCACAGCAAACCCGTCTTTAGTCCAACAGCCCTCTTCGGCTCAGCAACAACCGCAAGATTCACAACTGCAACAACAACAACAACAACAACAACAACAACCACAACAACAACAACCACAGCAACAACAAAAGCAACCACAATCTTTTTTTGTTAAGGATCAACAAACTCATTTCATCAGTCGACCACAACAACCGCAGCAGCAACAACAACCACAACAACAACCACAGCAACAACAACCACAGCAACCACAACAACAAAATCAACCACAATCATTTTTTGTTGAGGATCAACAAACTCATGCCATCAGTCGACCACAACAACCGCAGCAGCAACAACAACAACAACAACAACAACCACAGCAACAACAACCACAGCAACAACAACAACAAACGGCTGCTGTATACATCGACTACATCAGCGACCAGAACATATCGCAGCCACTACCACCACCACCAGCGCAAGTACCACCACCACCACCATTACTGCCAGCCCAACAACAACTGCCACCTCCACCCAAACTTGCCAGATCGTCTGCCGAGGACCCCAACAGTCACGTGATCTATTTATCCGACAATGACGTCATCGAAAAAGATTCGCTGTTCTTTGGAGATGATGCGACGAGTGGCGAGATCGGGAACTTGGAGAGAGATGACGACGACGATTATTACGAGAGTTTTGAAGAGAAGGAAAAGGAGATGCTGATAAATTGTGAGGGCATGTTTGACTTGTACTACATGAGGTCTATGCCGACGAGAACTGTTCTCATTGTTAGCATCTCTGCCTTCGTAATTCTTCTAATATTCTGCCTCATGCTGGTCGCTCTTGTCTCTGGAGACAGGTTTGTTGCGGTTGCGGTTGCTGTTAAGTGGTAGCAGTTGTTGTAACGTTTGTTGCTGGTAGATGTGTTGTTGTTTGTTTTTACGGTTGCGATTGTTGCTGTTGTTGTATCTCGCCTGGTTGGGGGTGCCTAGTTAATTAATTTAAATATTTGGAAATCGAACCGCGATCACCTGGATGGCTCAAAGGTCAGCGACAGTGAGGGGGTGGGGGGTTGGATTGGTAGGGCATTTGAGAAAATGTTGAGTAGTATGGTTTGGTGAGTGACAGAGGTTGCATTGGTCGAGGATGGTATCATTCGTGCGACAAACCAACCAAACGAACACAAACAGACGAGTCCTTCTCGAACGATATGAGGTACTGGTGAGATTGGGTTACGACGTTAACCCGCCAGACGACGGCTTCTTTAGGTTGCTTGGCAGACGACTCATGTTCCTCTGCTGCTGCGCCTGCTACTGCTGCCCCTGGATCGACTGCTGCTACTGTCTCCAATCTATTGAAGATAGCGACAGGGAGATTCAAATTGCTATGGCTAGGAATAGTTAGTCCCTGTCTGTCTGTCTGTCTGGTTTGTGTGTCTATCTTGTTTGTTTGTGTGTGTGTTCGTTCGTTTGTTTGTGAATGTGTGTTTGTTTGTCTGTTTGTGGGTTTGATCCTCGTATGTTCAACCCTTATGAGTGTCATATTCTAGCTGTTTTTCGTTCCATTATTTAACATTATGTCGAAAATCCGCTAATCAACTTTAGAATCACAGAACTCAAGCATAACAAAGCATGACGAACGGCAACAACAGCAACCACAACAGCAGCAGCAGCAACAACAACAACAACAATTATCGGCGTCAAACATATCGAGAACGATAACATGGGCACCGACAACCTTTGGCAGTCCACCCAGAAAATTAGATTGCTAACTTGAAATAAAAAAGACATGAAAAAAATATAAAATTGCTTATATACAAGTTGCATGGCAGAAGAAATGAGCTTTGGAATTTTTTTACTGTACTGTATTCTCAATATCATTTTAATTTTATTACATTAACACTTACTGCAAATGATTGTACACAGACTTGATTCTCATGCGTTTGAAGTATGTCGAAGATTATTCTACTTCGTTTTCGTTATTTGTTATCGTTTATATACAGAATACAATATTGATTAATGTTATAGATATGTTTGCTATCAAATAAATATTTTTGTTATTTTTTGGGGAATTAAAGTTGAAACTGGAGAAACACGCAATTGGATAAAGACGGTGATGTTGTAAATTGTGCATCCGCTGACGGGTTTAACATTTAAGCGAGTCCAACCTATAGAGATATATATATATATTATATTTATAGATATATCCATGTTCCTACCATTCAAATTGCGTTACTCTACTGCGTAGTAGTTGCGTTACCCTTCAATCTATGTTTATTAGCGCAAATAAACTAGATCTAAATGGGTTTCGTTGTTGGAGTTTGATTTCCAGAAGTTCATAAAAATGATATTTTTAATCTAATTTTAACCGTACGTCGGACAATTTTATTTCGTTTAAATAGAAATGTATCCATAAAAGAGTTATAATACAAACGTACGACTGTACAATACAGGCACGCACGCACACACACACACCAGCAACAAGTTCGTGAAATAGAAATAAAGTTTATTTTGAAATAAAATAGACCAGAAATTTATAAAAAAAAAATGCAAGTCGGAATAAAATCTAGAAGAGACATCAGGAAAAGGAGGCCAAATTGTCTGAGACATCGTTCATGAAGCTGCCGTCCAAAATACCTAAACTGAAGTCACCCAAGTTGGTTTTCTGGATAGGCAATTCAAAAATAACAATTATAATTAATTAGAAAATAATTATTATAATTATTAGAAAAATTATATAGCGCTTTTTCGTACAATCTCCAAAAGCGCAGACAAAAAAATGATTGATTCATTACGTAGATAGAAACGTTCCCAATCCTCCCATAAAAAAAACTAGAAGATTTGTATTAAGTACTGTCAATGCTCTGTGTTCCCAACACGAGCTGATAAACATTTTTTTGCCTCTAGAAAGGACATTGTAATTAAATGATAACCAAAGATCGCAATGAAGGATGTCGTATGCATAGTATAATCGTGTGCTCTGAGCCTTTAAATCAGCTTCTCATTGAATAAGGATAGCATTATAAAAGGTCCCAAACAGTCTAATTTGAAATGATTGGCTTGTCTTCTTGAAAACCAAGATGTTTGACTGTTCTTAGGACGTTTAAAATAATTTCAAATTTATCGACGTCCGTCCAATCACTGAAACATGATTCAGCGACCGGCAAACGACATTTTATTTTAACTGACCGAGTTTTTCAAAAGCCCTCAATAAATTTTCCATTTCCTAAAACTCGATGCCTCTCTTTATTTAGTTATTCCGCTACGAAGCCTCAATACGAACGCATCCACCTATTTGCTGGAAAACTTAATTTTAAGCTGTCTACCATATGAACCAAATTTCTAAATTAAATTTGAACTTTCATTTTCCCGAAACACACACATACAAACACACAAAATTTATTTATAATTCAAAAACCTTAAGCTAAAAAACCCCGGCACCGAATATTGTAAACTGACTTTAAACGAAAATAAACACCTCCTTTTTGCAAATCACAATTATTGTACAAACCAATAAAACCAAAAGAGTAAAAGCTTTTTGGATTTGATAACATGGATATAATTATATAATATATATATTATATCCATGTTCGATAATGAACATTTGAACAATCACAGAAAATATCTATTTATTTATGTTAGTTGTCTAGTGGCATAAGTGTAGTAACTGGTTTTTATACCTATGGTCGTGACTTTAGGCCATAGCTGTGCGCGCAATCTTAAATAACAACACGGTGCTTTAGAGAGAGTACAACGTTCATATGAATTTATTGTATAGATTTTTAACCATCCTATGTAAGGCCTTAACTATTGATGTCAGTGCGATTCTTTGTTCACAATCCACACATTGTTCAATCGATCGATCAATCGATCGATCGATCGATCAATCAATCGATCGATCGATCAATCAATCAATCAATCAATCAATCAATCGATCGATCGATCGATCGATCGATCAATCAATCAATCAATCAATCAATCAATCAATCAATCAATCAATCAATCAATCAATCAATCAATCAATCAATCAATCAATCAATCAATCAATCAATCAATCAATCAACCAGCCAATCAATCAATCATTCATTCATTCATTTATTCAATCATTCAATCAATCAACTAATCAATCAATGCATCAACCAACCAGCCAGCTAGCCAACAATCTGTTCAGCCAGCCAACCGACCAACTAAACCAACCAACCGCCCATCCAACTACTCAGCCAAGCACTTCAATCATTCTTCCACCCACTCAATAGAATCATTATCATCATCATCGTCATTATTAGACTTATTTACTTCCCCGTCCAGTGTATCTTCATCAGATGACAGATAGAATCGCAAAGGTATCTCACTGGTCTTACATATGGAACCTTTCGTCACTAGGGGTTCCAATCTGAAATGGCATGATGCAGGCAGACATGCAAATAACATTTCATCAAATTTATTTTTTTGACTTTCTAGAATGCAAATTCTGAAAGAATGCAAATTCAAATTCAGATATATCAGACGAGTTTTTAGTGGATTGTTCAAAAGCTTTCTTAGATCTCTTAGAATTGACTGAGATCAAATTTATGTTGAAATTTGTTAGAATTTGTTACAAAACCATCGTTTGTTTACTAATACTGAAATATTAATAATAAATGGAATTCGCAGAATAAAAAAAAATAAAATAGAAAGAAAAACACATACACACTCACTCACACACACTCACACACACGCACTCTCGAAAGTTTAATAGCAATTAAGTAAAAAAAATTTATGCAAGCAACTAAGCGCTTTTTACAGAAAACTACATAGCAAAAAACAAGAAATATGGAAAAATAAAAAAAAACAGGGCAACCTCTTGGCTGTGATGGAATGATCGAGAGCCTTCATCTTGTTCTTCAGCTTAATGAGCAGGTTCGCCATCATCTTGTGGTACCTCAGGGAAGGCTGCTTTGGTGAACATTGCTCTAATCTGCAGGCAGGTCAAGGTCAGCCAATACATTAGATAAATGGACGCATACGCACACACACGCACGCACACGCGCGCATACACACGCACGCACACGCGCGCATACACACGCGCGCATACACACAGCAAAACACACAGACACACGTACATTGGTTTAATTTTAAGCAGTTTCATTTTATTAAAAAAAACATTAACGCTTACACATATAAAATGCATGAAAACCAAAAAGAATAAAACACGGCTATGTATGCTCATAAAAACACACAAAAAAGTGCAATGGGTAAGATTTGGATCTGCCTCCTCTAGTTAACAACAACACGGCACCACACACACACACACACACACACACACACACATACACACACACACACAAACACACACAAACAAACACACACACACGCGAACACACACAAAAATACACGCACACACTTAAACACATTCACAAACACACACGAGCACACACACAAACAAACACACAAACATACACAATCACACACACAAAAACACACACATACACGTATTTTCCCAACTAACTAACAGGTTAATGGCAGCTTGGCAGTTGTTAGAATTCTCATAAACCCTGGCCAGCAAGAGCACTGCCTCAAGGTGTTCAGGATCGATCGCAATGGCCTTCTCCAAGATCGGTCGAGCCTTTGATACCATTAATTAATCAATTAATTAATCAATCAATTAATTAATTAATTAATTAGATAATTGTCCATTTAATTATCGATTATAATTAATTCATTTCGACAACAAAAACAACGACAACCACCTTCTCAAAACTGAT